ATATACACCTATCCCTATATATATAATTTTATAATTTCATGTTCACTTTGTAGGTTTTCATTTATTTTAAAATTGAAGAGAAGTATATGAACGGAATTAAACTTAGATGAATCAATAAAATAGCTTTAAGTAAATGATTTAAAAAATATGATTGTCCAGTAATTTATGAACATAATAGAATTATCAAGTTGTCTTTTCTCTTGATGATGCTAAGCCAATTTAAATCTAAGTCATAATTATTTTTCATGGGCCAGTTGACCAAAATTTTCAATTTCTCCTTGTATTTATTAGATAGTACTGTAACTTGTGAAAGTTATTGGGTGTCCGATTAATCACATTATCCTTAAAATAATTAAGTTTAACTGATACCTTTATGTTAGTAAACAACCAAATCACTGTCCAACAATTAAGTGTTCAGTAATACAATACAATTTGTTAAGAAATTCTCCTGACTTCTTAACCCCAACAATTAATGTTGTCACAAATAATAATTATTAAACCCCACTTATACCTGGGAAAAGATCAGATTCCTACCGATTAGTTAAGGACTTTCAACCGCTTAATTCTTTAAATATAATTAAGTCTTACCACTTAGATTTAAACTATCTAAGATTTCCCGCTTAGTTAATAAACTAAGTCTTTAAACTGCCAGCTGGTCTTTCCAAAAATATAAATATAAATATTTATAAGTCCTTCAGGCATCCCCGTTGGATTAAATAATAATTATTTAATTAAGTTAAATGTTTTGTTTTTATATAAGAGAGGAAATGATTAATTGTTTTTCATTAGAAATACCCAAAGGGGTTAATGTTTTAAATATTGTTTTTTATTATATTATTTTTCTCTTATCAATACTGTTCTTGTATTATTATCAGTTCTGAAAAATCATGAAGAGGAGAGTAAGAGATTTCTCTCCTTATATACATTTTTTGGAGTTATACAAATGGAATTTTGGAGAAATTTAGATCTTTCTCGCAACTACATGTGATTGATTAGTAAGTTGCTGGATCCTTCTTCAACTTACTTGTCGTCCTTGTGATTAATCACAAGTTCAATTTGTAAGCATAAAAGTTTCCAGTTCCTTCTAATTATTTCTAAAATAATATAATTTTATACAATGAATGAATTGCCTAATATGGCTAATAAGATAATAAATAAATAATTAATTAATTGAATTTGCTAAATATATATAATAAATGTATCACTGCCAGTTAATTAGTGATGTAATGGTGCTAAACTGAGTAATAATAATAATTATATGATATACTAAATATAGATAAAAATAAAATATAAATAAATAAATGTTCAAATGTATATAAAGATCGTCAATCGGCTGCGGTAGGAGAAGTGGTTCAGGATCGCCTGTCCACAGTACCAATCAAAATCAATATAAATAAAGCACTAAAAGGCAAACAGTAAATGAAATCAATAAGTTAATAAAAAATTGATTACTTTTACCAATGAATTTTTCTGCATATTGTTATAGAAAAATTATATTTTTAAAATAATCAAACATCCTTGGTTTCTGGAACTAAGTTACAATGATTATTATAAATAATCTTAATTGTAAAATGTTACCTACAAAAAGAATCAATAAATTATATAATTGACAATATTTTTAAATATATATCTTGGATAAAAAATAAATATTTAATTGACAATCCTTTTATGATCAGCAATTTTTTTTGAAAATTTAATAATAAATTTGTTGATAAGCTAATTATACTTTTAAAGCAAATTTTTTAAATTTATTGTTATATACACATTATTAAAACATAAAAATTTTGGCATAACAAATTCTAAATTCAGTTTTCTTATGTACCCAACCACTTCATTTAAACTAGACTGCATATGTATTTTTTGTGTATATTTTTTTAGACAAGTTATTTAAAGTGCATGAGCACAGATTATGGGCACCTTTGTTTTTGCTGGGCTAGAGTTAGTATCACGTTGATAATTCGTATTCAACAAGATGTTTTTCTTTCTACGCCGTTGTTCAGTTTCAAGAATCATCTCCTAAAATGAGAGATCATTTGAAACAAGCATGAACAGTATTCAAGATATACTACAATTCTTACCTTCAATTCATAACATCTTTCCATTACATTGAGGATTACAAGGAATTCAGCAGCTTCAGCAGGAAGGATCAATTCCACCAAAGATGTGAATCAATATAAACCATCATGTTCTAATGAGATCATCCAGAATCCAATTCTAGTTCCTAATATAAACATATAATTAACATATTGCTTATCAATATAGGATCAGCTTTAGTAACTTACCATTCACAATTATACCATATGTTTCATCATGGGCCCCTATATCCAGTGAATCTTTCATGAAGGTTGCCAATTTGATAAGTGCTTGGTTTGTAATGGCTTTACAATTTGCTGTTCTTGGTGGTTTAGCTTCACCAAACAAAATTTCATTGCCATGTTTACAGAGTAGACGAAAATCTGGTTTTTTCCCATGTATAACACCCTCTTTTGCACATTGAGTCTTGGATGAAATGCTTTCACTATTTGCCCCGAAAATTAAATTCAAAAGCATAAATATGTAAACATTCATTATAAGATAATATTACAGAACATACCATACAAGTTGCATGGTTTCAATACGGAAAATTTCCTCTAAAATCATATGACAAGTTTTGTGGATGTAAGTATCTTCATCTGACAAATTCTTGCTCTTGCCATGTGGTAAGTTGTAAAAGCTACATAGGTACTATATTATTAATATATACAATAATATTGATTATCATAAAATATTTAAAGTTTACTTACAAATTACGTGCAATGAGTTGCATTGAATCAAATATTTTTTTGTCTTGTTGATTCTCTAATATGGATATCTTGCTCCAATTTTGTCTCCACAAATCTTCTAATTCCATTATTTCATTATTCATTAAATGCTTATAATTAACAGATATAATCAATGTCTTGAGCAATAGTGTTCCATATAGCATGTAAAAACCTAAATTATTTACCTGTGTATATGAACAAATAACACTCTGAACAAGTGGTGGCATTCTAAATTTATATACAATACGTGGAAATGCAGCCTGCCACTTCTCATCAGTACATGAAATGTAAATTGACTTTCGATTTTTTCTTAACATCATAATACTTGATAAGGCACTATTATAAATACAAATGATATGTAAAATTCATTGACAATACAATAGTTTATCATATAAAATGCTAAAAACCTACAGTATTGATTCAACATCAGTTGTATAGCTCAAAACTGGATCAATTTTCAAGTTTTCAATGGTTGACATCTGGAATTGTCGAAACTCTTTAGAGAAATTGTGCCCTTCATATATCCACTAAATATGAAAAAAAAAAATCAGAAAAAGATAAAATAAAAATCAATCATCTTCAGTAAATTATATGTGAACATACATCCTTCAAAGAATTTTCTTGAATTTGCATTTTTGGTATTACATGATCCCATGTAAAAACATGCTTGAAGTCCATCTAATAAATTTATTAAAATTTAGCCACATATTATTTAATGATGAAACCAAGCAATTGATATCACCCTTACCATATTTTCAATTTCATAATTGTCATTTGATTCTAAGTTAATCATAAATGCATCTGAATCCTTACTACTAACTGTAACTTTTTCAGTAATAATGTCAAGTTTGTTCTCATCATCCCCATCCTCATTATCTCCATCATCATCATCATCATTATCCCCATAATCATCATCTCTCTTGCGTTTTCCAATGATTGCATTTGTTATATCATCCAATCCTTTTGACATGGCAGCTTGGTCACGTATGATCTATGGATTAGTTGTTGTGCATTAATATATTGCATCATAGTACTAAATCATCTATACAAAAGAGTACTTCACCTGCTTTTGCTGAATATCAATTTTATTTTCCTGCATTAAATTTTCTCGTTGAGTGCGCTCAACAAGCTTCTCAGCCAAGTCAATGAAATAAGTTTTCCTCTGTTTCTATAATATAATATAAATTAGTTATTACAAATCTAGAAAGGAAATATACTAGTGAAAGCTTACTTTGACGGCTTTCCTTAGCTTTGTTGCATAATTTAACACATATTTTGGACAACCGCCATTCTGGTTATTCTCTATAACACTCAGTGATTTACAAAAGGATGTATGCAATTGTTGTGGTGTAATAATCGGATTAGACTTTAACATGTCAATTATATAAGCATCAAAACGGTGCCATTTTGATATTGGTTGATTAGAGAAATAAGCATCAATATTTAAATTTGTAGAAATTTTGTATTCCATGCTTTCAGATTTTGTGATTCTTATTATAAGTTTGCAGTGTCTAACTACGGAAAGTTTATTATTATATATGTTGTGTACAATTTGAAATTTATTAATGTTAATTAAATTTTAGGACGCGTAAATCATATGGGAGATGTTACACATGAAAAATTTAAACGCGTAACTAATATTAAATATTAAACATTTAAAATGTTTATAACACAAATATAATAACAACTTTACTAACTATTTAACTATTTTCAGTACAATTGTCAGATGAAGGCTATATATAGGTGATAATAATAATCTATTGACAATGCAAATTAGACCTCACTTTGGCCAACCATGACATATCACAACAAAATCAAGTATTGAATTGCTCCTTTACCTTTCTTTTCTGCCTTTCTATGAGAGTCATGCAAATGCCTGGCCCTTTACACTATCCCTATGCTGAGGAACTGAGAAATCACTCCAAAGTTTATAGACTCATGAATTGATTCTGGGAGGTGGATTCATAGAAAGAGAAGATGAGAGTCATGCAAATGCCTGGCCCTTTACACTATCCCTATGCTGAGGAACTGAGAAATCACTCCAAAGTTTATGGACTCATGAATTGATTCCGGGAGGTGGATCATCTTCGTGCAGACAAAGATATTTATTATTAAACAATTACTTTACAAGCTAATTCAGAAATTTGGAGGTAATATATATAAACTATGTTTTTTTAAAAAAATTGTAAACAATTGTTGTATTTGTTTTGTGTAATAATTATCAATATAAACAATTATATAGAAAATGTCAAAAGGTAAAAAAGGGTAACATGGTTATTAAAGAAGGGAAAATTAATCTAGAAAATTTGGAAATATTAATAATACTAATGACGAAACATTTCAATATACAACATTTGGAAATCACAAGAATTGGAGTACATACACTATTTTAAATATCCAAAACACTACAGTATTCTCATCTTTTTATCATGTATATATATACATAAGGCCAATCTGACCTGTTCCCCTGATGATACAATGATGCAATTAAACTTCAGGGGAGACATGGCCAATTTATATAGACTGCACTGTTGTCAAGGACGTTTTCACTAATCTTCCCAGACCAGAGAAGGCTTGACATGTTAGCCGAAAAGTCACCTGCAACAATCCCACTTCTAGGGTAAGGATGGCTCTGTGACAAAGTTGCAACTCTGTTGATGAATGGTAGTGCCATGTAAACATCCAGATCCATCAAAGCAATGAGAATCTGCAACTCGTTTCAAGCACAGGAGGTTGCAGTTTAGAGCAAGGTTGGTGGCCCTGAAATTGCATTTGGGCTCTGGTGTTAGGAGGAAGCTGTAAAATAAAATGGTTCGGATTTTGTTTGGTATGTTATATATAAATTAATCATTTTCACAAATTTTCTGTTTCTTTGATTTTTATTTGACCAACTGAACTTGTTTTTTAAATGGAGTAGGGTTGTTGGTGAGACTAACAATACAGCAACACAGGACTCAAGAACTCTGAATCCAAAACAACAACCCAGGTTGCAACCTCCTGAGTTGGAGAATTTTGTACCAGTCTTAACACCAACTTTATTCTAGAGAAGGGTATAACACAAAGCAAACATCACACAAGCACCAGCTATCAGTGATCAATGCCCATATGGAAACAGACAAGCCTGGTTTGAGAGGAAGATAAGGAAAAGTTTTGTCCAAAGCCTTCCAACATATGGATGGCCTTCACTTGTGGGAGAAATTTCACAATTATGAGGGTGTGTGAAAGCACTAATTTGTATGTTTGTGATAGGAAATTTTTAATTAAATCTGACACCTGCAATCAACATCAGATTTATTATTCATAAGGAACCATAATTGATAGTCAGGAAAAATAATTTATTTTGTGAACTCCAAGATCTGGGTAGACACGCATTATTAAAAGTTTCATTTATGCATGGCCTTGGTATCATTACTACTTGGGTGATGCAATTATTTGTTATGTCAATTATGATATCAATGTATTGAATAATAACCATGACCATCATGAATATTTGATGGATGGAGGCATTCACATACAAGGAAAGGATTAAATAGCCAAGTCTTGTTTATTTTTTATCTATATATTTAAAAAATTATTATTTTATTTCATCTTTGTAATGGCATTAATTTCAATAATTCTGAAATTGTTTGTTTCTATCACACAAGTGATAGTCAGTTTAGATTAAAGATGGCTTGGCAACTAGGGAGTTGCCAACAGTTGCCAACTCACCTTAAGGGTTGCAACTGTTGCAGAATCTTGAACATAAGGATTTAATATAGGAATTGGCAACTAGTTGCAACTCAAGAGGTTGCAACATAGGGTTGCAACCATTGCAAATTTTCAAAATCAGTTGCCAACCCAACTTTAGTTTAGATGGCTTTTTTTAAAAAAGGTTTAGTTGAATTAATGTTATTAAAAATGTTTTTTTTATTTATAATAATTATTTTTTTTGATACATTAAACTCAGTCCAAAATCTATCATATTAATTTTTTTTTTGATAAAAAAAAAAAAAAATTCAAACATTTGTTTATTTTTTTTTAGTACATTTCAATTAGACTTTATTAGATCAAATGATACATTCAGCAAAAATCTCAGAAGACTACATTGTGCATTAATTCTAAAATAAAAAATATGTTTTAATGTTTTGTATAATCAACAATTTTCTTCAATTGTTTTTTTAGAAATAACAATAATTATCTTTTATTTATTTGTTTATCTGTTTT